TAATATTTATTGAATGCCCATTAAATTCCAGGCACTATTCTAAGCAGTTTACATAATTAATTCATTAATCTTCACAATAATCCCATAAAGTAAATGCCATTATTTCTATTTTGTACTGAAGAAAGTATCCTGCCTAAGCTGATAAGCAGTGGAGCCAGTTTACAAACCTACGTCCTGTGCTCTTACCTTTAAACTATGTAATTTCTTTGAGATGGAGTCTTGCTCTGTCACCAGGCTGGAGTACAGTAGCGTGATCTTGGCTCACTGAACCTCCGCTTCCCAGGTTCAAGCGATTCTCCTGCCTCAGCCTCCCAAGTAGCTAGGATTACAGGCACCTGCCACCACGTCCAGCTAATTTTTGTATTTTTGGTAGAGACAGGGTTTCACCATGTTGGCCAAGATGGTCTTGATCTTTTGACACCATTATCCACCCGCCTCAGCCTCCCATAGTGCTGGGATTACAGGCGTGAACCACTGCACCAGGCCTAAACTATGTAATTCCTTATAAATGCCTATAAATGTTCAGTTTTTGTCCTGGGGATTCCAAGTGAACAAGACAAACAAGACCTGTGCCCTCAGGGGACTTAATTCTAGTAGCAGAATAAACAAATATACACAAGGAAGAAAAAAACTTATTATTGATTATTTAAAAGTGCCAGGAAGAAAATAAACAGGATTTTATGATAGAAAATAAGACAGAAGGACCTATTCAGCAGTAATGAAAGAAAGCTTCTCTGAAAAGTGACTTTTTTTTTTTTTTTTTGAGACAGAGTTTCGCTCTTGTTACCCAGGCTGGAGTGCAATGGCGCGATCTCGGCTCACCGCAACCTCCGCCTTCTGGGTTCAGGCAATTCTCCTGCCTCAGCCTCCTGAGTAGCTGGGATTACAGGCACGCACCACCATGCCCAGATAATTTTTTGTATTTTTAGTAGAGACGGGGTTTCACCATGTTGACCAGGATGGTCTCGATCTCTTGACCTCGTGATCCACCCGCCTCAGCCTCCCAAAGTGCTGGGATTACAGGCTTGAGCCACCGCGCCCGGCCTGAAAAGTGACTTTAAAGGTGACACCTGAAAGTTGAGAAGTCACCAGCTCTGCAAAGAGAAGCGGTATACCCAGAAGTGTGCTGGGTCATTAGAAAGCACAAAGATGGTACTATGGACTGAATTGTGTCCCCATTGTCAAATTAATACATTGAAGCCCTAACCTTCAATGTGACTATATTTGAAGACAGGGCCTTGAAGGAAATAGTTAATGTTAAGTAAGGTTATAAGAATGGGGCACTAATCCAATAGGACTGGTGTGCTTATAAGAGGAAGAGACATGAGAGCAGTCGATCTCTCTCTTTCCCTCTCTCTCCACACCCACTCGATACGAACACACAGGATAGGCCATGTGAGGCTACACTGAGCAGGTGGTAGTCTACAAGCCAGGAAGGGACATCTCAGTAGGAGCCAACCCTGCTGACACTTTGCTCTTGGATTTCTAGCATCAAGAACTGTGAGATCATAAATTTCTGTTGTTAAAGTCGCCTGGTAATAATTTGTGATGACTACCCAAGCAGACTAATACAGACAGGAAAGACCTAGGTACTTTGTATGAACTGACAAAAAATCAGTGGGCTGGAACACAAACAGCAGTAGAGATAATAATACACTGAAGACACTTAAGCCCACAGATGGGAGATGAATTTTTTTTTTTTTTTTTTTTTGGAGACAGAGTCTCACTTTTGTCACCCAGCCTGAGTGCAGTGGTGGAATCTCAGCTCACTGCAACCTCCACCTTCCAAGTTCAAGCAATTCTCCTGCCTGGCCCTCCTGAGTAGCTGGGATTACAGGCACATGCCACAGATCTGGCTGATTTTTGTGTTTTTAGTAGAGATGGGGTTTCACCATGTCAGCCAGGTTGGTCTCAAGCTCCTGACTTCAGGTTATCTGCCCACCTCGCCCTCCAAAACTTCTGGGATTACAGGTGTGAGCCACCACGCCCAGCCAGGAGATGAATCTTAGATGAGATGATCATAAAAATATATGGTGCAGGTTTTTGTTACCTCAGTGATTGTGAGACACTAACATACAGCAACTAGAGGTCACTATATTCCAACTCTGGAGTGCACAGAACAGTCCAACACAAAAAAGAACTGAACCCTTCCAAAATGTTAACACTGGCCTTCTTGGAAACAATTGCTAATGGGTAAGTTTCATGTACCCAGGGGACTACAGAAAACTAAAGTTTGTCCCCCTCCCCCTGCTTTTTTTAAATTATTAATTCTTACACTTACCCAAGGACAGTTCTGGGCTAATTCTGGTTAATTAATACACATGTGTTGTACTTGTGTGTAACAGTACTGGATAATTTGGAACATGCGCAAATGAATCAGAAGCCAATCCTAGGCCTAAGAGCCCCAGAAAAGGAGATATGATACCATACTTCATCAAACTAAGGCACCATCAGTTACACGACACACCACTTTATGAACCACTAAGTTAGGAATAACGCCAAGTAAACTGTGCTATCAATTGTAAGATACATCTTAACTTCAGAGTTTTTAAAATGTGAAAAAATGCACATCTTAAAAAATGAAAGAGAATATGAAATAGTTAAAATGCAAATAGTTGGAGAAGTCATATAAAGAGTTCATATAAAGGATAAAATATAGGCAGGTCTGATCATCAGGAACTGCTTCATGTTGAAGATCATATTAAGCTGAGTCTTGAAGAATGGATAGAAGTAGAAAGTGGAAGAGATTGAGGAAAACAATATTTTCAGAAAGAGAGTACTGCGAGAAGAACAGCAATAATAAAATGAAGTAAGGGCTGGCTAAAAAGAAATACTTAAAGTTAGAAAGACAAGTTAAAATAGAAAAAAAAAAAGACAGACACACAAGGGTTAGGAAAACCTTGAATGCAACTAGGTTAAACAGCCTGAAATTGATTGTATAGCTTGAGGAATCATTCGCAAAAACTTTTTTAACTCCTGCACATTTTAGGGTTATAACATACATTAAAAATATGGTTCATTCTAGTAGTGATTCTAAACTGTGGGAGATGGGAAAGGAGTAGAAAAGATTAATTCTGATGGGAGTACACAGCAGTGTACTCCAGAAAATCCTAACTTCTATCTCCACCTTGAGAATTACTGCTCTACGCATTAGGAAACCTCTAGAAAAATTTTAGCAGCCACCTGATTCAGGTACATTTCAGAAAAGGGAATCCAGAAGAATTGTGTAAAAATGGATGAGAAATGGAATAAAGACTGAGAATCTGCATAAGAAGCAGATCTTCTAAACCAGAAGTTAATGAATTTGTATTAGATTAGTTACAGCAGGAAAACGTATGGTGAAACTATTGTAAGAAACAGAAGCAATAAAGGGAAGAAAAAGTTTAAGATACAGATAGTAAGCTCAAACAAAGAAAAATGCATTCTAAAATACGTAGGTCATTCAGATGACGTCTAACAGGCATCCAAGACTGGAAGGAATGAACTAGGTTAGGTCTGAAAACACAGGCATGAAGATCATTTAAAAAGAAGTGTAAATGTAAATCCATAGTTTGGATGAAGCTCCAAAAAGTGGGCAAGAGAAGTATGGCAAAATTAAGTATTTTTTGCAGTGAATATCTGTTAAAGCATTTAATTGCTTTATTACAAGTAACTGTCTTCATATCTTACAATAAACTTATGCTGATCCTCATCATCACTAATTTTAACACGATAAATTTGCAAACAAAAAAGCAAAGCATAGTGAAGACTATGAATATGTTCAGGATCACATAAAGCAATACAAAGTAGCATTTCATTAATTTCCAATCTGCTGTTAAAAACATTTCAATTGGCCTCTTCTGTGTTTGTGTACGGATAAACTTGGTGAAAATCAATAATCTACACCTTTGAGGGCGGCACCTAAGAGCAACCTACACAGAGAGAGAGAGACAGGGTCTTACTCTGTGCCCCATGCTGGAGTGCAATGGTGCAATCATAGCTTTACTATAACCTCAAACTCCTAAGCGCAAGTAATTCTCCCATCTCGGCCTCCCTAGTAGCTAGTGCTACAGGTGCGTGCAGCACCTGTAGCACCACACCTGCTAATTTTTATTACTTTCTGTAGAGACAGAGTCTTGCTTTGTTGCCCAGCCTGGTCTCAAACTCCTGGCCTCAAATGATCCTCGTGCTCTAACTTCCCAAAGCACTTGGATTGCACAGGTGTAAGCCAGCATGCTCAGCCAAAATCCATGATTTTTAAATCAAGTATTTTTTCAAGTTTTTTTTAAGTATAAAGGCAATGTCATCTTTTACATGAAAAACTGTGGTTTCAAGTCACATATGGGGTAAGAAAGAAGAAAACCTCTAATTCTCTGGTATTAACCCTTAAATGTGCTATAAACATACCAAACAGCTTTAGTTAAATTCTTTTTGACTAAAATACCTTCTGACAAACTTCCTCTTAGAGTGATATAGTCAGGGCTTGAGGGAAGGAAAGAAAGGAAAGATAGAAGGAAAATGAAACCAATAAACGAAAAAAGAGATGAGAAAGAAAGGAAAAGCCACCCAGCTGAACTGGCTAACAGGGTAAAGATGGTAAAGATCATTATGTGACCCTAGAACAAATTTACTGAGCAAAGAAAATGATACGGCTTTCTGCTGGAAGCAGGACATGCGAAAGACACAGGCTCTCTAACTGTACAATAGTGCAGGTATTTTTCTCAACATACTTGGAAATCAAAGGAATCTGACAGGAAAAACAAGTCACCGAGTAGCCACACAAACAGCACACTAACGACAATCTGTCTAAATGATTAGATGAACTGAAACAGCAGACGGCAGCATCTTAACAGCTTGTCAAAATATGTTATTTTGCTGCTTTATGACTGCTTTTGCTTAAGCAAATTCTTTCAAAGGAAAAAAACAAAAGGTCAGGTAACTTTCTAAAACTCTATGTCCTACAATAACATTATCGTTAAATTTACACATAGCAAGAAAAATTTAGAAAAAATGTGAAATACCTCAGTCTGACCTTCATGGGCACTGGTCTCGTGAGTAACTCGGATGGCCTGTAATAAGAATAAAGGTATTCACTGGAAAAAATGACCATACCCAACTTTTAAAATGAAAACAACAACAAAGTCAAAATTTAACATCTAAAGTCTTCTAAAGAAACAACAAATTGAAGGAAATTTAAGAACAGCTTATGATATCTGGGTAATCAAATGAATTGCCGTACTATGTGACCCACAAATCTCTAAAGACTTAGGAAACTGAATATCTGATTATTTGTAATTTCCAGGCTGTAAGTAGGGGCCATTTAACTTATTCAGTTGTTAGAACTAACACTTAACACTTTATTCAATTGAGACTAGAATAAAGTAAGCATTTCACAGATAGAGACTAAAGAAGCTTATCTCATCTGTTTCTCCCGGTTCCATGCTCCTCTGCAGCTCTGGCTGTATTTATGCTTAATCATGCAGTTTCAGTCAGCAATTTAGAAATGTGGAGCACAACTCATGCATTTTTTAGAAGCTACAGAATTTAGTTTCCTGAACTAAAAAATAAACCATTCTTACAGTACCCACTATTTGCAAAGATGCAGAGAAATGGGTACAATAGTAAATTACAGGTGAAAGTACAACCTTTATGAATAGCAACTGGCAATAAATACATATCCAAGCCTTAAAAACATGCAAACTATTTTATCCAGCAATTTCTCTTCTAGTAGTTTATATATTTACATATAATTCTACATAATTTTATATAATTAAGGACATTTACAAAGATATACTTTGCAATATTTATTAAAATAGTGAAAAACTATTCCATTTCTAACAATTTATTGGTGAAATACAATATTATATAATGGAAAGCTATGCAGCCATTAAATAATATCAAATATATACTTACTGGTATGTAATACGTTTGTGATAAGTGAAAAAAGCAAGTCATAAAACAGTATTACAGTGTGATCAAATTTTTGTTTAAAAAACTGTGTATATACATATACATTCCCTATAAAAATATTAATGTTTATCTACCTCTCATTAGTAAGATTACTGATTTTCATGTTGTTTATTTTTATGTATAATAAAAATGTCTTATGAAGTTTCCAGTTTTTTTTTAAAGAAAAAAACAATTTAAAAAACAATTCAAAAACAGGAATGCTTAATAACATAATCAAACCAATTAATTTATCAGGCACAAACTTTACATAAGGTATTGTTCTAGTCAAATAATTTGTAGACTATACACCTAATTTCAAGGAACTTATAATCTGTTTAATAATGTTATTAAAAGGTAAAAAGATTTCAAAAGAAAAAATTCATTCTAAAAGTAGTAAATTTTAAAAACAATTTCAGAACAGTTATATGAAGTGGTACAATCATTACCACCTGCATTAAATATAACCTATATTATATATAAAACCTAGTTTATGTGGCCTGGTTATTGCACTGATAAAATAGCTACAGTATGGTCCAATGTCTACCTGTAAACCTTTGCATTTTCCTTTCATTTTCAGCCTTGTTCCAAATTCCCAATGAAAGATACACAGGGTACCGCCAGACATATATTTATTTTATGGAGGGGATGGTAAGGAATAGTCAGTCATAAAGTATTTTATTAATTTGTGAATCAGGGCCAGGTATGGCAGCTCATGTCTGTAATCCCAGCTCTCTGGTAGGCTGAGGTAGAGGGATTGCTTGAGGCCAGGAGTTTGAGACCAGCCTGGCCAACATGGCAAAACCCCGTCTCTACTAAAAATACAAAAATTAGCCAGGCACGGTGGCACGCACCTGAAATCCTAGCTGCTAGGGAGGCTAAGGCACAATTGCTTGAACTTGGAGGCAGAGGTTGCAGTGAGCAGAGAGCACCACTGCACTCCAGCCTGGGCAGCAGAGTGAGACTCCATGTCAAAAAAAAAAAATTTATCAATCAAACTGCTTTTATCCATTCAGTCAGCTCTGAACATAGAAAAGAAGTGGCAATTTATCAGCATTTATGGATATTTCAGATGAAGCTATCTAAATAGTACAAAAGGCTTTTATTAACGGATACAATAAAATCCGTAACTGCTCAAAACTATGGTTTCAAGATAAAACCCCCAAATACATCTACAATCCCACAAAACTTTGCCCACATATGAGATCAAAACAGAAAGAAGGTACCGACGTCATAGTTCTCCAGGTATCTGGCTCGTTCTTCAGGGCTCATTGACACAGATTCCTCCAGGAACTTTTTCAAGGTTGATCCAGATTCTGCAAATAGGAAAGAAGATAAAATTAAAAAGGCTTGATATAGCAGAGAGACCAATAAATGAAAATACTAGAAGTATGCTACTATTTTTCAGGTAAAATCCTTTCACTGGTAAGTTAGAGATATAAGAATCTTGTTATAAATGGTAAGCCTCACATTATTAATATTTGTCCATTTGTTTAACCTCTATTAGTCAACAATATAAAAGAATGAGAAGGATTAATATTTCTTCTAACAGTATATACATTACCATCATAAAAGAAGGGGGAAATGCTTTCTTTTACAGTTTGAAAGAAAGAATTAGAGCACCACCTACTGCTCAATGAAATCAACTTATATCTTAAGGGGGGAAAAATGCAGTAATGAAAAAATCATTTACCAAAGTGCATCTTGTCTTTATTGTTTGCAATAGCATGAATTAGTCCAATTGTTCCACAGGCATTGCTGATTGTTTGCTTCATGAAATATACTGATGATGTAACATCTTGTCCCTGAGATTTTATTTTTTCTTCCTCTTCTGTTCTGAATACTTCATACTATTAAAAAGTCAATAGTGTACATGTGGAAAATAACGTTAAAAACTTCAGTCTGTAAAAGAAAAACTGCAAATGATAAAAATTATTTTTATAAAAGAAAGAGTTTAAAATATAATTCATCACCTACCAAAGTGACGAAAGACTGAAAAATGAATAGCAGTAGCCAGTGATGGTGAAGGTATGAGCAAAAAGGCATTCTCCTCTGCCATTATTGAAAGCGTATATTTGTACAATCCCATTAGAGGGCATATGATAATATGTATTAACATTTTAAATGATCATACACTCCAATAAGCAATTTCCTTTATAGGAGATTAGTCTAAAACATAATCTTTAAAATGATATATATAGTTCTAAGAGCACAAAACTGGAAAAGTTATAAATAACCATCAATGGAGATTTGGTCAACATGTATTACAGTTATTGTCATAGAATACTATAAAGCACTGTAGATTTACATATTCTGATTTAGAACTTTGTCCCCGACTAAGCATGGTTATAGGTCAGTATGTATTAACAATTCCCATTTATGTTTTTAAAATACATATACACACACTAGAAAGTCTGAAAGAGTATGCAGAAACTTAATAGAGGTTATCTTTCGGACAAGAGATTACTGGAGAACTTTTGCTTGCTAATTTTTACATTTGTACATTTCTATATGGTTTATCATTGGCAAAAATATTTTTCTTTCGGAAAATCATACCATATTAATAAAATTCACATTATATAATCCATAACTGACATTAAGCATTATCTATAATAACTGGTTATAAAAGCAATAGGGTATAAAAATAAGCATCACAAATGTGGGCTCTACAGCTGACTGCCTGGGCCCACAAACTGGCTCGGATATTATTAGCTGTGTGACTTTAGCAAATTACTTAATGTCTCTGTATTTTAGTTTCCTAATAGTAAGAAAGAGTTAAAAATGGCAAAAAAGGTTAAAAAAATGGGTGAGGTGGAGAGGAGAAAGATGATAATATTGTTTGGTTTAGAGTTTTCCCATAACTTCCTGTTTCCAATAGAGTAGGGTCAGCAAATGACAACCTACAGGCCAAATCTGGGCCACTGCCTCTTTTCATGAGGAAAATTTCATTAATGTATTGTCTGCCGCTGTTTACAAGGCAAAGTCAAATAATTGCAACAGAGATTTGAAAGCCTGCAAAGCTGAAAATATTTACTATATGTCCCTTTACAGGAACATTTTCCTGATCCCCTGCAATAAAAGAAACAAATGATGTCTATAGAAAACCTACAATTAGTTAAGAAACTGCTTCTTTAAGCAGTTTAAACTCTCTTGCCTAAAGAGAAAAAAATAATAAACTGCTTCTAACAACAAATGTATCTATGCTCAAAATATGAATTTTATTGTGTTTCGAAATTAAATTTTAAGTAACATTTTCAGAATAAATGGACGTTATTCATGTTAAGTTTGACTGATAAAAAACTGGAAAGGTTCAGTATATCAAGGTCTTAGGCTGAAAGTTTCCAGTTCTACAGTTCAGTCTTGTTAATGTTCCTGTTGACAAAGCAAAATAAGATTTGATGATTTCAAGATTTAATGTGTAGGAAAAATTCCTAAAATGATTCAAAGCAAGTAAAGGAAAAAAAGAAATTATGGTAGACCAAAATATAAAATAAAATAAGGCCAAGAGATATAAATATCAGAGAGAAATAAATCTGTAGCCCCTTTGCCTATGATTTACTGGCTGGACCGCACTACCACAAGAAACACATTCAAAACACTATCATTGGCTGAGAGAGGTAGCTCACACCTATAATCTCAGCACTTTCGGAGGCTGAGGCAGGTGGATCATCTGAGGTCAGGCGTTTAAGACCAGCCAGGCTAACATGGTGAAACTCTCTACTAAAAATACATGAATTAGCAGGGAATGGTGGCACATGCCTGTAATCCCAGCTACTCCAGGGGCTGAGCCATGAGAATCACTTGAACCAGGGAGGCAAAAGTTGCAGTGAGCTGAAATTGCACCACTGTACTCCAGTCTGGGCAACAGAGCAAGACTCTGTCTCGAACAACAACAACAAAGAACATTATCATTGATGGCAATTATCAAAAAGAGATAATGAATGCTGGCAAGGGTGTGGAGAAAAGGGAACCCAAGTGCACTGTTGGTGGAAATGCAGATTGGTACAACCATTATGAGACAGTATGGAGATTTCTAAAGAAATTAACAATAGACTACCATATGACCCAACAATTCATAGCCAAAGAAGACGAATCACTTTGTAAAGGAGATGAATCTCTACCTTGTGAAAATATTTGCACTTCCATGTTCACTGCAGCATTACTCACAATAGCCAAGATATGGAAAAACCCAAATGTCCATAGATGGCTAAATGGATAAAAACATGGTATAGTCTACAGCCATACTACCCTGAATGTGCCCGATCCCATCTGATCTCAGAAGTTAAGCAGGGTCAGACCTGGTTAGAACTTGGTTGGGAGAAAAAGTGGCACAGGTATAGACACACACACACACACACTCACTCACACACACATTCTCTCTCTCTCTCTCTCAATATCATTCAGCCTTAAAAAAAGGAGATCCTAACAACTGCTACATGGATAAACCTGAAGGACATTTCCTAAGTGAAACAACCCAGACACAGAAAGAAAAATATTGCATAGTATCACTGATACAAGGAATTTTTTTTTTTTTTTTTTTTTTTGAGACGGAGTTTTGCTCTTGTCACCCAGGCTGGAGTGCAATGGCGCGATCTCGGCTCACCGCAACCTCTGCCTCCTGGGTTCAGGCAATTCTCCTGCCTCAGCCTCCTGAGTAGCTGGGATTACAGGCACGCACCACCATGCCCAGCTAATTTTTTGTATTTTTAGTAGAGACGGGGTTTCACCTTGTTGACCAGGATGGTCTCAATCTCTCGACCTCGTGATCCACCCGCCTCGGCCTCCCAAAGTGCTGGGATTACAGGCTTGAGCCACCGCGCCTGGCCAAGGAATTTTTTTTTAAAGCTCAAATACACAGAGACAGAGAATGAAACAGTGGTTAGCATGGAGGTGATGTGATGTAGGTCAAAGGACACATAATAGCAGATATGTAGGATAAAAAAGTAACAAGTCTAGAAATTATGTACAACATGAAGACTAAAGTTAAAACTATATTGCATTAGAGACTTGTTAAATAAGTAGATTTTAGCTGCTCTTGTCACAAAAAGAGGAACTATGTGATGACAGACGTCAATCTGCTTCAGTATTGCAACGATTTTACTATGTTTATGAATCCTATTATCATGTTGTACACTTCAAGTACACACGATAACATTTATTGTTAAAAACCCACCATGATTGACTTTAAAGGGTAATGAGTCACACCCATAATCCCAACACTTTTGAAGTCCAAGGCAGGGGATCATTCAAGGTCAGAAGTTGGAGACCAGCCTGACCAAGATGGTGAAACCCCGTCTGATCAACATGGTGAAACCCCGTCTCTACTAAAAATATAAAAAATTAGCCAGGTATGGTGGCACATGCCTGTAATCCTAACTACTCCAGAGGCTGAGGCAGGAGAATCACTTGAACCTGGGAGTCAGGGACTGCAGTGAGCCGAGATGGCACCACTGCACTCTAGCCTGGGCAACAGAGTGAGACTCTGTCTCAAAAAATAAGTAAATACATACATACATACATACATACAGGATAATAAGGTGCCCATGACATTTCCTTTGCTATTAGTATGCTTAAGTCATTCACAACTACATATTCAATTTTTAAATTAGAAATTCAAAGACAAACACTTTGCAGCTCCTAAAGAATGCACTAGCTATCCTCTTAATAATTTTGCCATATACCACCTATAAGCTGAAATAGGGATCTACTAAACTGTAACAGATATCTAAAAGTGGTACACGCTATTTGTATTCTCTACATAAATGTTATTATAAATAACATGGCAGATTTAGGTTATTTAATGTAACTTAATAGTTATATTAAGTATTTATACTTACTTTTGTATTTACTTACATAAATTTTCTACTTATGTAAGTACAAACTTACAAAAATACTTTAGAACTGTGTTCATCCTTTCAATGGGGCAAGTTTTTTAGCTCTGATAATCTACTAAATTAAATCCTATTAATAAGAATAATATGCTTTTTTAATACTGATGACTCTAGATAGAAGCAATCAAATCTAATTTCTTTTTCACAAAAAAAAGTCATAAAAATCAATGGTTTGGAAATTTCCAATTCAGACAAAAACTTCCCATCAGCTAAGAAACCCTAAGCTTTAGGCAACTGATTTTTTTTTTTTTTTTTTTTTTTTTTTGATTCTTCACTGTTCATCACAATGGGGGTCCTGGGATACTTATCTGTTGGCTTATTTTTGTAATCAATAAAAGGCAAAAATAATATTGGATTTAAAGAGAGTAAATTCAAGTTTTTGTCTTAACTCCTACAAATATCAATACTCATAACCTTATCATTGTGAAGGGGTTTGGTCTAATATCAGACAATCACTAAGAAATTCCTAACTCCAAATTTAGCAAAGACAGAGAAATATATTTCTTTTATTAAATAATTTGTTTTGTAGAACACTTAAGTAGAAGAAAGAAAAACTTCAATGTTATTTAATTTATCTTGAATTGAGGCTAATTTGTTATGGCATAAAGAAAATGATCCAGGAATTTCCAGGAGTAAGCAAAGTGTAAGTCTTAAATCCTGTGGGATTTGGTTCCAGTTAGTCCTGAAGAATAGGATGACCTGAACACAAATATGCCAAATCATCAATGTGAGAGATATTTCTCTCACATCTTCCCAAACACTTACTTCTTCATTTTTCGTAACTACTAAAAGCATCCTACTGTTTCTAATTTTAAAAATAAAAATCAGAATGATATATCCTCAAAATCTGTTATATAATACACTTAAAGGTTCTGGCTCCACTACGTGTGTGTGCGTGTGTATACATATACATACATATATACATATATATACCTACACGCAGAAACATACACACACATCATTCTACAAGAAAAGACTAAAATACGGAGACTTGAATTTAAATACAGAGCTCAAAAAATACCTATTTATAATCCCCAACACACCCTAAATCTGCCAGTTAAATGTATTTAAGGTTAGTGATTCCCACTCAAATCAAGTTTATTTTGAAAATAATGTAACCCACGTTATCAGTTTCCCCTACCAACTTAAAATAGGCAAAGGATATTCCTTTTTTATATATACAGAAAAAATTTTATTTAAGTTTATTCTAGTACTCAAAATCTCTAAAATATATGTCAAAATGTGATTACATGTGACATCAAAACACAAATGAGGCAAACTAACCAAATTTTATAAAAGAATAAAACTACCGAAGCTTAAAGCACTAACCTAGGACTTTACTGTCATCAAAAGTTAAATATCATCTCTTTAATAAAAACATTTTTAAGATTTCTTCACTGCCTAGATTGCCTAGTTTTATGCAAGGAAGGATCATTTACTCTTGAAGATTGTATTTAACAAAAATTTTGCAAATTAAAGAAAAAGATAAAGAAAGAAATTGGGCTGGGCACAGAGGCTCATGCCTATAAGCCTAGCACTTTGGGAGACAGATGCGGGAGGATCACTTGAGCCCATGAGTTGGGAGACCAGCCTGGGCAACATAGTGAGACCCTGTCTCTAAGAAAATAAAATAAAAGCATTAGCTATGTGTCGAGGAACATGCCTGTAGTCCCAGCTACTCATGAGGCTAAGGTGAGAGGATTGCTTGAGCCTGGGAAGTTGAGGCTGCAGTGAGCCACGATCACACATCTGCACTCTAGCCTAGGCAACAGAGTGAGAGCCTGCCTCAAAATATAAGATAAAATAAAACAAAAATTGTATTTACCAGAAACTTTCTATTTTACTTAACAATTACCTTTTCTGTAATAGGAAAGAGAAGTAATACTGCACAGACTGGTCTTGGTACCATGCTAAGGAGTTCAGGATCCATTCCATATACATCGACGAACTGCCAGTTAGGATGCAGACCTAATTGTTTGAGAAACTGGTAAAAGAAAGAAAGAAAAAAAAATAGTGGAACATTAGTTGGTAAAAGAAAACCTAGTATACTATACATAGTGTTAAAAGGGAAGTGATCAGCAAATAGGTACTGTGTATCTAATACATATAAGGGGATATAATACAAATGTAACTGATATTCAGTAAGAATGCAGTAAAGCAGCATATATCAAAACATCACAATGTATACCATAAATATGTGCAATTTTTGTCAATTATACTTTAATAAAACTGGGGGGAAAGAATGTAGTAAAGCAGATTTTCTATGAATAGGGTGAGAAAAGATAGCAATTTATTTATTTAGTTAGTTTTTTGAGATGGAGTCTTGCTCTTTCGCCAGTCTGGAGTGCAATGGCACAACCTCAGCTCATTGCAACCTCTGTCTCCCGGATTCAAGTGATTCTCCTGCCTCAGCCTCCTGAGTAGCTGGGACTACAGGCACATGCCACCATGCCTGGTTAATTTTTTGTATTTTAGTAGAGATGAGGTTTCACCACAGCCAGGATGATCTAGATCTCCTGACCTCACGATCTGCCTGCCTTGGCCTCCCAAAGTGCTAGGATTACAAGTGTGAGCCACTGCGCCTGGCCAATAGCAATTTATTTATAGCACATAAGAAACATTTAAAATTCATAGCATGAAATACAACCTCTTTTTTCAAAATCCATTTCTTTGGAACTAAATTTAATAAGCCTGGACTTCATCAAATACATACAACTTGGCTTGGTTGATATCTTAAACTCATTTCCAGCACTGGGTTTTTAAGGAGAGGCATTTACATTATAGTAAATAAATATTTTATCAGGAAATCAGCATAGTTCATCCTATTTACCAAAAATGATGTCTGAGGTTTAAAGATCAATTGATAGCTGTGAATTCTATCAATGACCAAAGAGAAATATAAGGCAAAAATGCATCTAATGCATTGTACAGACAACAGAAAATGCTTGATATAGGAAGTAAACTGCTGGCTTCCTGACCTCTACTACATAATGAAACCTACTTAACTTCATTGCCTCTCTTATATCTGGCAAAATAACTATAACAAAAGATCAGTACTTTTTTTTTTTTTTTTTTACAATTCCTAAGATGTCACAGGAAAATAAAATGTCAGACCTTAATCTATCACATACAGAAAAAAATGAGAATGTCATTCTCACAATAAATTAATAACTGTTCATATTGAAGGAAGCCGATTTTTAAAAAATACGTCATTATAAATTAAGTTTTAGATGACAGAAAAAAGGAATAAACAAAAATCACATTAAAAATACATCATTATATCTTACCTCAAGAACACATTATGGTATTTGCTGGTCTAACATCTGAAATTTTAAAATTAAAAACAAACAAAAAGGTGCCATAGGCATTTGTCCCTGAAGAATGATCACATGTACTTAGATCATCAAATGAGGTCTTGTAAAACCAATGGAAGCCATGATGTGTTATAGGAACAGTGTTATTCATCTCACACATTTGAGTTTTGCAAGACAAGGCCTTCCTGTTTAAAGGGCAACTGTCCTTTATCCCTTCATTTCTCTGCTTGTAGAAGATAACCTACTTGCCAATGATATCATTGGTCAAACATAAGGTTCTAAGTGTGTTTAATAAGAAATGTACTGATTTATAAAAACTTTCTTCGAAGAATGTGCTCAGTATAGATCAGCTTCATTTTTGCATCAAGTCACATGCCCTGTAAGAGTCCGGGGCTGAGATCAATGGGCTCCTCGACATTATATCCATTCTTCACTTGATTCTATTTACAGTTCACTAAAGCACTCCAAACCACTTCCCGCTCCCTTCTCCACTTCCTCCAAACTTCCCAGTCTATGCTTTTTCAGTATTCAATTCTATCTAAAACCCAAAAAGAATAAAAATTTACTGCAAAGTCAAGGAAAAAAACTGTCTTATTCAATGTTTTAATCCCATTACCTAGCACTATACGTGGCTGAATCACAGGCACCCAAGTTAGCTTTCTAGAACTGACTAAAGATTACATCCCTACTTTAGTGGATAACTTAGCTCTCTGTATGCATATATACATCACTGAAGCCTGTATACAATGAAGAAAAGAGGTAGAAAAGATACATTTGTCTCTTAATCTAAAACCTGGCATTCACTTAATCAAATCTGAATACTACCGAAATTTGCCTTTTAAGGAAAAACATCATGAACCCTGATAAAAGTACTTAAATCTATTTGTTAATTTTATATACCCCCAAAGTCATCCTGTTATAAAGTTATAAAACAAGATGGTACATACAACAGAGCAATTTAACACCTGTGCTGCAAACTAAAAGTCACGGAATATTTTAGTGAAAGATCTGGACAAAATCAGTAAGTACTGTAAATCAGTTCACTGCAAATCTACTCCATGTCAGCCAAAGCCAACAAGTACAAAAAGTACTAGGAACCAAAGGCAGCAACTGTAGTAACACCAATTTGTATCAAACTGAGGGCACAATGAATGATTAAACTGTAGATAAAAGCACAACTTGATTAAATTTTTACAGGAATCATGCTTTTTAACTTTTTACTCATATCAACAATTAAATGAGACAGATATAAAGAAGCTCAATGCAGCTAATGTCTATTAAATATATTAGTTACATCCTGACTCCAGATTGCCGTAAGTCAGGCTCACCAAAAACTATATGAATACAAAAAAAAGCAATTATAAAGACTACCTCTGGGAAGTGGAGAAAGGGTAAAGAGGGTCTTCAACTTTGACCTCTCACTTTTTCAAAAAAAAAAAAAAAACCACACATTAAAATGTCCTACTTTTGCAATTAAAAAAACAAATCTGTGTTTGAAATGATCATATGCAAATACAGAAAGATAGGAAGGAAATTTTCTAAAATGTTAGCAGTTGGCTTGGGTAGTGTGACTCCAGCTTTTTATTTTCTAGTATGTTTTAAATTAATTAGTTTTACAATAATTATATGTAGTTGTAAGTTACAAATCTGTAAAACTGATACACATATGTATTCTATTTAAATTTACCAAACTGGGAGAAAACCCAAAATGATGATCTTTAAAGTACACTAAAAAAATTTTTCCAGACTACTCACGAAGATAAATATCTATATATGCATTTGCAAAGCCATCCCTAGACACTTAATTAGAAGCATCCCATTGACATCAAGCAGGATCAAAGGTTTCATAACCTCTAACACCAGTCTTCTGGCTTTTCTAACTTACATATTGGGTAATAAAGCAACCAAAAAAAACCTCTGACTGATCATCTCAACAAATTTTCACGATGCCTCTAAAATTTTGGCCAATTGAGAAAAATAATTGATAAATTCTAATATTTGGTTGTCAAAAAATCTTTAGTCAATTCTTTTTATTCTATCGTCCAGTGATAAATTTTTCACCAGCTCGAGTATTTAAAATTACTTGTAAATATGTTTTTGGATCCTTGTATGTGAGGAGCTAGGAATGATCCACTTTCCCTCTACTGCCATGGCAAGGCAGGTTTCATTTTATGCTCTTTTTTTTTTTCCAGACAGGGTCTTGCTCCACTGGCCAGGCTGGAGTGCAGTGGCACGATCACAGCTCACTGCAACCTCGAACTCCTGAGGCTAACGGGATCGTCCTGCCTCAGCCTCCCAGGTAGCTGAGACTACAGGCATGCATCATCACAGCCAGCTAATTTTTTTTATTTTTTAGTAGAGACTTCTCACTATGTTGCTCAAGCTGGTCTCAAACTCCTACATTCAAGCAATTCTCTGGCCTCAGCCTCTCAAAGTGCTCATTAGGTGTGAACCACTGCACTCAACCCAGTGTATCCTTTTACCAACAAATAAGAAAACGATGTGAAGGAGGTTAAGTGAGTTTTGAAGATCACACTGCCAAAACTAGGCTGTAATACTCTGGCACCGATTTACTTTTCCAGCTTCATTTTTCTCTGTCCAGAGTATCTTACCAGTATTTTATTCTCTAACTTTGCCAAATGAACTCCTGAGAGTTTTCAAAGTGTCAATAACCATCGCTTCCCTCCAGATTTTTGCATACAAACTAGACTCCTCTGTCTTAAAAAACTGTTCATCAGCTGGGCGCAGTAGCTCATACCTATAATTCCAGCACTTTGGGAGGCCGAGGCAGGTGGATCACCTGAGGTCAGGAGTTCAAGACCAGCCTGGCCAACATAGCGAAACCCTATCTCCACTAAAAATACAAAAATTAGCCAGGCATGGTGGTACCTGCCTGTAATCCCAGCTACTGGGGGGGTGAGGCAGGAAGATTGCTTGAATGTGGGAGGTGGAGGTTGCAGTGAGCGGAGATCATACCACTGCACTCCAGCCTGGGCAACAGAGCAAGACTCCATCTCAAAAAAAAACAACAACAAAAACAAAAAAAAACTTGCTCATTCCTGTCCCTAAATTACAACAAATTCTTCCTCATTCTTTAGGTGACAAATACAAAAACTCTGATTTTATGTATTTTGTAAAAAATAGATAAAATTCACTTTCCTTTCAAATTTGTTCTTAAAGCCACTTCCTCTGGTCTTTAATGGTCTGCTCAAGGCAGCCAGAGATTCTGCTTTGTTACTAATTTATTAGTGATTTGAATTACGATGTAAAATTATTACTTACCTAGTAATTGCATGGTAGTACCACCAGTAACAGTATACTAGTATTAACTGACAAATGCAGAACTAGGAGAATAACTATTAGTTAAATGAGAAAATGGCAGTGTAGAAACTAGTAAAAATAGATTTTAATAGAGACAGAATAAAAAAAATTTTAATGAAATTATTAAAGTACATAATAAGGAAACACTGAAAACATTTTATGTGCAGATTAAGAAAAAAATGAGGTTTACTTCACTGCAGGCTCAATATGGACTAACTACAAAATTGTCAACAAAAGTGATATAATGTCAGTCCGCTTTAAAAGGATCATTTCAGATCATGTTAATAGCCCACTGTACTCAACAGGGATTATTCAACAGAAAATATGCTATAGGAGGTATATTTTATGA